TTTTTACTCTAAGATGTTTTAATTTAGGATAGGATACTGATCTCTTTTTCTCTTAAATTCATATTGGTCATTGCTAAAGTATAACTTTAAAAGAGCTAACAATATGACTCATGCAAATATTAAATTTAAGTGGTCAGAATTCTTATTCAACTTATTAGTTAACAAGGAGACCTGTAAGATGTTCATGCAGGCTGAAAAGAGAATTTGAGAAAGGGAGATTTATAGATTTGGTTTATCAAATGAATGTAGAAAAGAATTTTTTCACAGATAGTAAAATTTTACAAATAGGAAAAAGACCAATGTCTTCTAAAACAATATAGAATAGCCTTTAGAATTACCTTTTCTGCTATATAGAAATCATTTGCATTGCTGTTCAGTAGGTCTGTTTGGATTTGCTCTACGAATCTGGCAACACCCAATTTCTACCATCAGACTTAAAGTACAGTATCTTAATAATAGTCAGAAGTACACCCCTAGAAAATCACATAACTTCTTAAGGGAGTTAGTGAAAGAATACTCAGTTTCTGTTTCAGGTAATTTTTCATGAGTTCAATAATGTAAGATAAGGTTGTTAGTGTAATAAAGGAAATAGCAAAGAAAAGGTGAAATTCTTCCTAAAGCATGTGATTTTTGAACATTATTAATAATCCTATATTCTGTTGTGATTTTACTTATTGTTACCTTGAAGCTTTTTGTTTTGTTTTGTTTTTGTTTTTTTCAAGACCAGATTTCACTATAGAGTTCAAGCTGGTCTTAAACTCACTATGTAGTCTAGGCTGGCCTCGAACTTGCAGCAATCCTCCTGCCTCAGTCTCCCGAGTGCTGAGATTATAGATTATGTGTGTGCCACCACACCTGGCACCTTGAAGCTTTAAATGACTTGCTATTAATATTTTGCCATTTCTCTGAGTTTCTTTGGCTATTTGATATTCTCTATTGTACCTAGCATGGCACCTTATTCACAGTATGAATTCAAAATATTAATTGATTTAATATGATGTATTCTTGGAAGCAAGCTACATATTTCAAAAAGTGGCTTGGATCAGTCTATAGAAGGGCATCAATCAAGTTACTGAATCTTTTATTTTAAATTTGTTGTGATAACTATGCATAAATTAGTAATGATACTTTTTTCTTTTGTTCTATTAGTGGTGATCTACTCAAAGTAGAAGGCAAAGCTCTGCATTCTATTTTAGATGAAGTCATTTCCAAGCTTTTATCAACCCCTAGTCCGCTCATAAGAAGTACTGCTATGAAGCTTCTACTGTTGATGGCTCAATCCCATCAAGAAATTTTTATTTCACTGAGACTAAGTCCTTGCTACAAAGGTAATATACACATATTTCCTTTTCTTGGGCTTCTCAAAAAGAAAAATTTTATTGATATTTTATGACACACAAAAGTTTTATATTTTGAAAAGGGAGTCACTGAACTTTGTAGATAAAACGTATTACAACAGATAACCATTTCAGAAAGAAGGACTTTGTATAACCAAACTATCTTCATGTCTCTCTCTCAACAGAAAGCATGTGGTCCTTTGTTGAATAAGTTAGAATAAATATTTACCCCCTCTTTGATAAAAAGGTTATATGTTGAGTATACCATATAATGTAGTGAAATAATGACCAAAGAGATCAGTCACCTTATCAAGGTAGTTGAAAATAGAACTGTGCTTAACAGTTGGGTGACCTTGGGGGCCGGGGATTTAGCTCTGGTTCTGCCGCCTGCCTCACAAGCGCAAGGTCCCAAGTTCAATCCCTGGTACCAAGAAAAAAAAAAAAGAGTTGGGTAACCTTATTGATCTTTGTATCAGTTAATAAGTTATTTAACCTCTTCTTTGCCTTTCCTCAAAAAAAAAAAAACCAACATTTATAGCTAAGTGGATGCACACTGAGGCGATACTCTTAAGTGAAATAAATAGGACACACGTGTAAATACCGAATAGTTTCTCTGGTGTGAGAAAGTGAAAGTGTAAATAAGGACTAAATGTATAATAGGTAATGTGAAATAGGAAGAA